TAGAGCGATATAGAGATATCTTAGAGCAACGGGGTCAGGGGAGAAGGTCAAAATAGGGCTTTTGGCTTTGGAAGCGAAGGCCCTATGAGTGCCCTAAACCCTGCCCTAAACCCCTAAACCCTATAAACCCTTTTTTTGAGCAGGGACTGCAATGCACTAACCCTAAACCCTATAAACCCTAAACCCCTAAACCCTAAAGGCGCTGCACCTTCCCCGAGTGAACGCCGCAGCGCATGCGGACCCCAAGGCGCTCCACGCGCTCCAGGACATCCTGTTTCGGCTTGGCCATGAAGGGTTTAGGGTTTAGGGGTTTAGGGGTTTAGGGTTTAGTGGTTTAGGGTTTAGTGGTTTAGAGTTGAAGACAACGATGCACAATTCTGCCCTCTTCAGGTCTGTGCCATCATCACGACATATCACGACTTGCATTGTCGTTACTACCGTCGCTGCTGCTGGTCTTCACTGCTCCACAACTCTCTTCTTGTTTCGCTTGGTCTTTCATTGGCACTGTTTTTAGCTTTCTACTATGCCCAATACTCGCATCATGTACCGCAGCGGCTACGACTACTGTTGCATTCGCACCTGAACTACGATTGCTTGCTTGGCGGCTAGCACACTTCGCAGAGTTACATACGATTATTACTCATTTGAATATGTGCATCAGTAATGGCATAAGGGCTGGTGGTGGCGGTGATGGTGCTGCTGGCGGGTGACAGTGACACAGGTGCTGGTGCTGAATGGTCATGGCGGGTGAGTTGTCGTCGTCGAAGGTCGCTAGCGAATGCTGAATTCGTCGAGGTACTGTCGCGGCTTCGGTGGCATGCTCCTCGTGGTCCACCACCTTCCAATTCGCGCAAGCTTCTTAGAATTCCAAGATGATGCTCATTTTGCCCGGGTGAAGGCGATTCCAGGGAAGTTGCATCATGGGTAGCGGGTAGTACGTACCACGAGCTTTTGAGCCGACCTCATCAGCCTCCCACACCATCGATCCGATCCCCATGCAACAGTTAAGCTTTTCTGCAGCTTCGACTTGAATGCATGCAACTTCATGCTTCTGGCAGCTTGGGCCTCATTCGGGGCATTGAAGACGGCGAGGACCTTGCGCAGCGCACAACAACTCTCCAAGTCTATTGCAATCGACTCATAGAGAGTCGCTTTCGGTTTCGGCTCGTCTTTGCCCTGCGGGCCTCGTCCGCGATGAATTCAAGCAACGTCCCGCCGAGGCCCTCAATCGCGCTGGAAACCTCCGAGCGCACAATCACTACGAAAATTCATTGTCTCAGCACCTCGGACTCCACCTGGTGGTTGGCAGTGGCAAGGCAAGAACATGCAAGAACACAGACTAAGCTGATTAAACCCACGAATCCTTATTACCCCACGGATGCAGCCGTCCTCCCCATGGACGGAGCTCAGGAGGTCCAGCACGGCCTTTCAACACACGTCTCGATTTGCAGCGGCTTCATCCTAGACGAGATACCGACACTACGACTCGCATAGAACCACGGCACAGTGCCTCCGGATATTGTGACTCTTTTCCTTCGCATCATGAGGTTTCGGTGCTTGGCGCAGCCTGCCTTCGGGTGGAGGCCACGGCACATATCCCGGAAGCCATCAATGTCACCTCAAGGTGTTCTCTGCTGCAGTGAAGCTGCCCTTAGTTACACCTCCTCTGACATGTGCATGTTCATGTGCTTGCTTCTGCGCCGACATATTTCTCATGTCTAATCATTTCGCGAAGGAAGCCCTTTCCATCCAAGCCAAGCCCCTGCTCCCTGTAAGTGTAAGGGCACTTTGGGACGAGTCGCAGAAGAAGATGCTGACCTCATTCTCGTGGAAGCCCACCGTTGCCTTGCCAATCAACCCTAAACCCCTAAACCCTAAACCGAGGTTCTCCACAAAAGGCCCTGAACCAGAAGGGCACCCTTTTTCCTACGATTTTTGGCTTATGATGAAGGTAACCATACCATAACAAGGGCACCCTTTTTCCTACGATTTTTGGCTTATGATCAAGGTAACCATACAATAACGAGGGCACCCTTTTTCCTACTATTTTTTTGGCTCATGATAAAGGTGCTACCATAGAAGAACAAGGGCAAAGAGGCACATACTCGGGGATCCTAGAAACCCGAAACCCCTCCATCTCTCCTTCTCACTCTGCTCTCGAGGTCCGACTGAGTGGCTTCCCTAGTCTTTCTGGCCTTCTTCGGCTTTAAGTTGCCCCAAAGACTAATGTAGGGGCCTTATAACAATCATAGTAGGGTTTTTTTGGGGGGTATAGATTACCATAATTATAATATAAGGAACCCGTAATTGATGAAGGCCCCATCTACTACAATACTATAAGGCACCGAATTGGCAGAGTCTGCGGGGCGCTCGGATCCAAGAATTCTGGATTCAATCTCCCTGCTGCAGCTACATGCTTCTCTGGATTGTTGTTATGGGGTTGAACTTAAGTTACCATAATAAAGAAACCATATTATTCACTATGGATCCCTATTATGGTAACTCAAACTAAACCCTTTAACAAGAACCCAGTTCTCAGCACCTGGCCTCCACTCCAGATCTGTACCTGGTTGCGTTTAGGGATTAGAAGGCCAAGGACTGGGGCTGTACCTCGTGATCAAAATGGCAGGGGACATCAGGGACCATTTGCAACGTGCACACAGCCTTTTAATGGAAAAGTCTCGCTTCGATAGGCCACTTCTGCTGAATGAACCCTTCGAACAAATTTCGCTCAGAAGAACCCGTGGATTCTGTGTCAGAGCTGGATCGAGTCAACAGCGAGTGGAAACATGAATGAACACATAAACTAACGCACGCAGGAACACAAGTCTCTACCTGCCTGCCTGCCTGCCTGCCTGCCTGCCTGCCTGACTGCCTACGTACCTACCTACCTACCTACCTACCTACCTACCTACCCACCCACCTACCTACCTACCGACCTACCTACCTACGCACCTACCTACCTACCTACCTACCTACCTGCCTACCTACCTACCTACCTACCTCCCTGCCTACCTACCTACCTACCCCCTCCCTGCCTGCCTGCCTGCCTACCTACCTACCTACCTACCTACCTAGCTACCTACCTACCTACCTACCTACCTACCTACCTACCTTTGCTGCCACGGGACAACGACTTGAGCAGATACGGTGGCACGTACTTGGCCCAGGAGCGCAGTGCAGCACGCATGGTCGTAAGAGAACAGCGCAGATCCTGGGCTTGCAGTGGTTACCAAACAGGAATGAGACATAATGACATAACACATAATAATAGGTTTCAAGACCAAGCTTCAGCTGCCATTCTGGTCTCGAAGAAAGCATTCGCTGGCGGGCGATCGTGCTTCTAATCATGATTCCGGCTGTTGCTTTGGATACTGCCGTCAGTGCCTTCCTAAACCCTAAACCCTAAAGCCCTAAACCCCTGAATCTGCCCCACGGCTGGATGCAGCGAAGGGGCTGCCAGCTCCTTGACATCATCATTGCTCCTTACACGTTCATGGGGAGCTGTCGGTAGCTTTGATCTGCGGTTTCAAGCGCTTCTGACATCGGTCTTATGTGGTTCATGGACACTTCTAGGCAGGGTTATGCATACCTTCATTGGGGTGATTTAAGGCATGGGCTTACTTAAACTACCCGTACCAGCACCCAGCGAGCTCCCACGCCGTGCCCGTGCCTTATTGCCCTCTGGCTTCTTACAAAGCCCATACCCTCAACCCCTGGACCTCCAAAAGCCCCGACCGGAAATGTGAATTCACGGGCTATCCCTTGCTGGAGGCCAAGCTTCTCAGACTTCTCTCTGCAGAAGGGAAGGCGCATGGAGTAGCGGATGAGCCCTCGGCTTCATGGCTTCGACTCGGGTGTTACCAGAGTTACCACTACTGGGATTTAGGGGGAAATGGGCGGGCTTCGGGAGTGTAGGGCAGCTTAGGAGTTCGGGCTGGGGGATTAAGACATTCAGAGAGTGGCTTTCCATAACCGGGGCTCTCCACTTTTGACTTAAAGGGCGTAGGGTGTATAGGGGTTCAGGATTTCGTGCTGGGTTGATGTTGACGACATTGCGATCAGTTTGTGTGCAGCTTGTTCCAACTACCAAGATAACTTAGCCTGAATCCTGAATAAAAGATGGTGACTACCATGCTTCGACGATGCCTCGGCTTGCAGCAAACAAGGAAAGTGGAAAAGCCAAGATCTGAAGATCTGCGCTCCGGGGGGGGGGGGGGGC